TAAGTCAGGAACTATATTTTGTGGCGAAAGGTTTTTTTTATATAGAAGAAAATGATCATTTTTTACCTTTTGAATTATAGACAGTATTGTTAAGTTTGGATTTCTATTTCTCCATGCTGGTTGCACAGAGCTGATTTTTGCAGTGAAATGTTAAATGCTGGTTCTGAAACACTATTTAATTATTTCTTATGAATTCTTTCATTATATTGTCACAAATATAGTAAAATATTTACAGAAAATCCAGAAAAAAATTAGGCCAATTTTAGCATAAAATTAGTAATATCTAAAAATTTATGTGATAAACCCCTACTTTTGTTTTTTTTTATCTGAATATATTAAGAAAATTTGATCAACCTGCTTAAATTCAGCATCACTTTAAGACTTTAAAATAAATTTCTTGCTTGTTAAATTTTCAATGCCAGGAAAATCACATTTTGTGCGTGCCGAAAGGTCCAATAATTGATTATGCGAAGCAATTTGACACTTTTTCTTAGACACAATTTTAAAGTGTCTTTTTTAAATAGACGAATTGTTTATTTTGTTCCATAATTTATTTGGATAAAAATATTGGAGGGAAAACATCGAAGACGTGAATTTTGATTAAGATACAAATTTCAGTACGAAAAGGTCATATTAAATGTACTGTAGCGCTAAAAGAAGCATATTGATCCCCGTTTTTTTGGTTTTGAGTGTTGATTAAGCTGGGTGTGTAGAAAAATTAAAAATATACTTTGACAAAAAAGTTTAAGGCTTTAAATTTCAGGATCCAACCTCGTTAAGAGGTCAGGAAATGTGATTCTTAAAATACTGCTGAAAATAGAAGGAGAGACAGTGTGCTATAAACTGGTTTAAAGTGGCAATTTGCTAAGACAATGCATTCCTGAAATTATATAAAAATAAATGAATGCTTTTTGGAAAAATCTTTCAGTGCTTATAAAATGTGCATACCATACATTACTAGATGATATAGGAAAGAACGTATAATTTTTGTTTTTATGACGCTTTGTGAGTTGATCTGTGGTTTAGATTTTTTTTGTTGGTTTTGATTTTTTATTAAGCTGATGTGTAAAAAACTAAAAATATACTTGACAAAAAAGTTTATTTTTAGTCTTCAACCTGTGCAAAACATTCATTCTATACTAAATTTTCATGTGCTAAAAAATGAATTTCAACAAGGCATTCAAATTATATAAAAATCAAATTGCATTTTTACAAACATTTCTATATATATATATATATATATATATATATATATATATATATATAAAGCACATTTTACAACAACTCTTAAACTAACATTTTTAACTGCCCTCAGTGAAGAAATATTAATTATAGAAAGCACAAAGAAATTCACTTTTACATGGATAAACTTATGCGAATTAAAATTTTACTTCGACAGTCAGGCGTCAGTCACAGGGGCCGGTAACATACTGTTTTTGATTTTACGTAATCACTATATATATACAAAAAAGTGCAGGAACAGCGCGCTAGACCAGCTCGGAAATGGGCAAGTCAAAAAACTTGCTTTCGATGCCGATGGTAATAATCACGCTGCCCTAAAAATACACGGTCATTTAGAATAGAAGTCGAGATACAGTTATTTGGACATTAGTTTTAACAGAAATTGTTACCAATACATGTTGTAATGAAATTAATTATTATTTATAAAGCACATTTTACAACAACTCTTTCCAAACTAACATAACTGCCTCTCTGTGAAGAAATATATATATTCATAGAAAATTACAATTAACAAAAGAAAAAGATGATTTTTACATGGATCTTTACTTTGTGTTTTCCATCTCTGGAAAGACTTCAGAACTGGAGAAAATGTGCGAATTTTGCCTCGTTTTAGTGGACGACTTAAAGTACATCGACTCGCACAACGGGATATCGCGCTTACCCAACTTAAACGCTATAAAAAGTAACGAGGTTTCTGTTTTATCAAAGAATATTTATTGTAGTATGATCTAGTTATAATTTAATTGGCTATATTCTTTTTTCTATGAAATACGATATATTTCCGAGATCGACCCTGTGTAAATTCGGGCTGACGTTGTTTCCCTTTCTCTTTTTGTATACATATAGTGATTACGTAAAATCAAATACAGTATGTTACAGGCCCCTGTGGCGTCAGTAGGCTATTATGATGTCATTAACAAATCACGTCACCTTATGCAGAAGCAGAAGCGTTTGACATAATGTCACAGTGTCTATACACATACTTTAGTGATTAACACATTTTTTCTTAGTTTTTCCATTAAAAAATAGCACAAGTTTACAAGCAACCAGCGACATGACATTTGACTTAATTTTGCCATTACGCATGCCCCAAAATTTAATTCGAATATAGCTTCGCAGCGTTCACAAGAAATTCACTAATTTAATGCGCAATAAACTAATTTGAATTAAACTAATTCGCATTAAATTCTCCGTGTGAACGCTAAGCGAAGCTAATTCGCAGTAAACTTACGTTTAATTCGAATTGAACTCTCCGTGTGAACAGGGCAATAGACGGAAACGTATAACCGCCTCGTGTTGTTGTTTTAGAACGCGATATTATGATATAAAAATGTTGTCAAATACAATTACTTCAAGGTTTGTCGATATAATTATGAAAATAATCTATGATGAATAATACTATTCTGATATGTTTTAGACGACTACACTTTGATATAACCAAGTTGAGAATAGAAAAATTATGTGTAAAAATTAAGCCGCTAAAATTAAAATGGACATTATTTACAAATATGACGACTTAACAAGGATTTAATCAAAGAGGAAATTCAGCAAAATGCGAACGACTTGTAACATCAGATTTATTAATATGAAATTGAATTGATTATTTATAATTCAAATTGTTATAGCACTAAAGTAATTGCAAGCCCGTAGTGCATGTCTAGCGCGCTTTCCTCTTTTTTCTAAGTGTGTGCTTTTCTCAAGGTCTCGGGACACTCTTTGAAAACCGTAGCTACGTGCCTGATTTTTATATCCATGATTAAAAAAATACATGATTTTTAGAAATAAAAATTAAAATTTCATGCTGTCAGTATATTGCAATGTTTTTTTCTTAAACAAAAGGACATTTGCAGTTTTTACAGTGTTAATATTCTTTATGTATATGCTTTTTTAAATGTTCTCAAAGATCAACTTCATAAAATGTATATGATTTTTTAAAATTATAATCTGAATTTATTGATTCATAACATGATTGGTAAAATTGTGTCTGTGAAACTAACTAATGAGCTTGTGTGTTATCTTTAAAAAACAAAGTGCAAATTATTTCATTCATTTTATCAATCTACACATAATTTTAAAATACATGTATAGAGTAAGTGCAGATGTGAAGGCATATTTAATGCATGATATTACATCAGCATCGAAAATATTAAATGCTTTATGTTTGCATATTTTCTACAACCTAAGAACAAGATTAAAGATATCGTTATCATAGTTTGAATAGTGGAAAAGTATTAACAAATATAGTGACTGTCCTTTGAAGCAAAATTCATGAGATTTATTATTTAAGGAAGAGCCTGCAAGATATCCTATAACTATTTGAATTATTTTATTTAAATCAGACATCAATTCAGTGCAATACGTTATATTCAGGATAAAGTTTTTCCAATGTCCTCATCTTAATGTAAAAAGACTTGAACTTTTAAATATTTGTAAAATTAAATGTTAAAAGTTCAGTCTCTATCTTATGATAATCAATTTTATTGGCTCATGACTAATTAAGACGCTGACATCCTTATATCAATTGCTAGATTCCTTTAATCTAAATTGAATAATATGCAATTTTTTTTCCAACATGTTTCACTTTATAATGCTATTATAACATATCTACAATTCATGCATGTATATTCAGTATATCTCTTATATACTAGTACATTTTTATCAACTGTTCTCGTTATATGTAAGATCATGTTTGTTCTATCAATTGGATCCTCCTCCTTCTTTTGGTTGCAATTTTTTCTCTTTGCTCCTCCAAGAGCCCAAATTAGACTCATAAAATCTTGTATCTTGTATAAATCTGATGTTATAAGTCGTTCGAATTTTGTTGAATTTTTCTCTTTGATCAAATCAACTCGTCTAAGCAAAGTCTTCATTTATGTTATATTGCACTAATGTCTGCGATATCTAGTTTTAGCGACATAATGTTTACTTATTATTTTATGTAAAAGTGAATTTCTTGGATACTTTCATATATATATATATATATATATATATATATATATAAGTATGAAATAAACATCAGAGATTGTTGTCATAATTATATCACCGAACCTTATAGTAACTATATTTGGCAACATTTTTATATCATGATATCGCGTTCTAAAACAACAACACGAGGCGGTTATACGTTTCCGTAATGTAGTGATTTTGTCTTAGATTGTCGTTAAATCTTAATGAAACTACCAATATCCTCAGATATAATGTAAAGATTATCTCAAAGTCTTTTAAAATCACTTTTAGAGTATGGCTGATAGTTCAAAATGTTTGGTGAAATATAAAAAAAAAATTAAAAATTGTTGTTGTTTATGTACAAGCATTTACATGAAGGGACACATTTCAGATGACAAGATGACATCCTTAATTAGCCACAGAGATGTAAATCCGAACTAGTACGTTGCTATCAATGCAAAATGCAATTATTAGCGTCGTTCGTTTCACCTTAGCTGATTTTCATTTGACACCGCATGTCCATATTGCGCAAGTGATGTACCTGGCTGACGTTCGTGTGACAGACAGTTCACAAATAATAAAACTTTGAAATATCTCCAGGACGACAATTGCCTACCTTGTTTGAACATCAATAGAAAAATTTATAAATTTTAAAAATGTGGACGTCATGCCAATATCGGTACTCCTCGTGAATTATCTGGGAAATAATTAATGCCCCAACTGCCCTAATTTTGTTTAGAATTAATTTTAGAATTTTGTTACGCATGACGGACGATCGGACTGTCTTGACGAAACTGATGACACTGTATAATTGACATTATTAATGCGTTTGTTTGTCATCTGTGGGTTCTGTATACAATCTGTTGCTGAAGAACTCGGACCTTTCTTCTGCACTGGGTTTTTCAAGGATGTTTTGAAGAAATTGTTGGAAAGTTTTATCTGCTTTTGAACATTATGAGCGAAAACGTAGAAGATAGGAATTCAGAAGCGCTGGATCATCGGCCTAGGGACCAAACCGAGGACTCAGATCAAGTGAAAATAGAAATAACACCCCCAGAGGAGGAAGACAGACCCACGCGTAAACTGGTAGTGGTACCAGTAAAGGAGAAGAGGGTTTCTTACGCTGGCATACCCGCACTGGATGAAATTTCAGAAGATGGATCAACTACGTCATCGCGACATGACCGAAGTCGGAAGGTATCCTTGTTTTCCAGTCAGCTGACCCAACAGCAACATCGAAAGCTTTCTTGTGATCCCTTCTTGATTGTCAATCAAAGAAAGTACTCGGACATCTTAGCACCAAGCAGAAAATTTTCAGGTATTAACATTCCACCTCCTCTTGTTTTACCTAGCCGCAAAGTTTCTATTGAACCTTTAAATCTTCCTGGAGTTGCCAAGAAATATTCAGTGATTTCAATTGGCTCGGACTTCGACTCTCAGGAAACGTTTGAAACTCTTCCTCACGCGGACCACTACCGCCATGATCTCTATGATGTTGTAGGGGAACTTCGACAGCGGCCCACATTGGACGAACTTCGCGATGACGAACGGGTAAGCGTTAGATCTAAGACATTCCAGAGATTTAAATGGCCCTTTATTGTTATTGCTGTCGCCGGCTGATTTCTAAGACATGCTGAGGGGACATGGGAGAAAATTTCTACGGAAAATCGTAAAGTTTTACGAAAATCTTATTTGGTGTGAAGGCCTCAAGCGTATACTTATAAGTTTTTTCCATGGAATAATTGTTTTTTTACATTTTCTTTATTGCCAAAGAGTCTCAGATTTCATTTTTGTCATTCATAAAAAATGATTGTTTTCGAATAAATTGTGGTGCACGCAAGTTATATATAATGAAAAAAACGTTGACAATAATTTCGGGTCACCACATTTGGAAACCTTTATTGGTCTCTAAAAAGGCATTATAAACATAAAATATTGGGCTTAGACAGTTTGCATCTCATGAGACTCATCTCACATTGCATATCTGAATAACTTTCCTGTACTGAATAACTAATTTCTTTTTAGGTCAAATTTCAAATTAAAATAAGAGTACGCTGCAAAGTTTTGCTGGAAAAAAGAACTGCGTATAAACTATTTATTACTGTCTGTCTATAATTTGGTTGTCCCTTTACGAGTTTATGGTACCTTAAAATTCCACAGTTTTCGATTTTTAAACTCTTTTTTAATGAAATTACTGTATGGGGGATTTAAGAGAGCTTTTAATACCGATGAGAAAGGTAAATCGATTCTGTAGAATAATTGTTCCAAGGATCCAAAATTACACGTGCATGTTCTCCTTGTACCGACTTCGACGATAGCAAAGAGAAAGAAAACGAAGGAAATATAAAAAAGTGGCCAATTTAAGAGCAGAGGGCCATTAGTCCTGAACATCCCTACGGATGTCCTCATTATTGCTAACTCTGCTTTTAGTTCCATTATTATGCAGCGTTGGGATCATTTGGGCTGACAAAGGATGTTTTTCATTTTAAAAGCACAAATTCTAGATAAATTTTGGACCTTTTTTTTAATGTAAGAAATAATCAACATTTGATGGAAAAAAGTAACTTCTATTGAGCAGACTGCTTTAAGCTTATATTTGTATTAAAAAGTGATTAATATTAAAAATTACACCTTTCCGCATGCACCTTTAAAAATCCATGAAGATAAAGGTCAATCGCTCTCTTAATATCAATTTATGTTTTATAAAAATGTAATCGAAAAGGTAAATGTGATATAAAGATTGTCTACTGTGGTAATAATTCAGAATAATATGCTTAATTATTTATTGAACAGTTTAGAGGAAATGTACGATGAATATATTAAGGTCAGACGAGACGTTCCTCAAAATTTGTTTTGTATATCTTCGTAATGTACGAAAATTATTCAAAATTTTAATAACATTCTGATTTCTAAACCAGTTTCTAAACATTTTTAAAAAATCAAAACACAAAGATTTGAAATTGGAAAATTATTTTTCTTCCCCAAAGGATTATATAAGAAAAACTACCCCTTTCTTGCAGAAATGCCTCTTTTTTTGTGAGTAAACATGTTTAAGTAGCAATACTTCAATGACAAACTCTTAGAAAAATTTATCTATTATTAAGGAACGTCTCGTCTGTCCTTAAGTAAGGCCTGTTTTAGCTTTTGTTCCATTTTCCAACAAATTGTAATTTTGCAAATTTGCTCCGTATTTCGTCTATTAAATGCAATTGCATTTGATAAATTGCCGAGGCTACGTAGAGCTGAGAATTGTAAATGATGGATTACGGTATGTTCATGTGCATTTCCACACCGCGGGTGCCGATTGTCTGACCTATGACCGGTGTGGGTTGTCGCGCGTCATGTTGGTAAACAGGTGCTTTTTTTCTTTTTAATGAAATGCCTAATTCAATCGGTAAAATCCAGAAGTGTAGAATTATTTAATTCTTATTACGTCAATAACTATTAAACATTTTTCTAATTTTTTTAAAGTTTACTACATTATCTTCGAGCACATTGTAACACATTGTCGCGTTAAAATAAACATGCCAGGTTTAAGTATATCGTATCTTTTAATTTGGTCAATTGACAAAGGGCTCAGGCCATTGAGCCATAAAACTTGAACGGGCTCACTTGTGATCTCAGTTTTCCGCTTTTAATTCCTTTGTTGAAAGTGAGACTGAGATCCAAAGTGAGTTTATCTTAGTTTTTGTCCCCGGAGTCAGAATCTTACTAAAGATTTATTTGTATAATTTTGTGTGAGGTCTGTTGACAATGTGCCTCTCAGATCCTAACTACAATACTTGAACTCCCATGCGAAATGGATTTATCAAACAGACAATGAAATGGCGACATATTCTTAATAGTTTCTTTTAACTTATGATTATTTTTATTCTTTATGATGTTTTGACATTGTTATGAGTATTTATGTTGTTATTTACTATAGAAGTGTTAGAGCAAATGATTTATTTACACATCTGGACGTCAAGACGAGTATATTCTGTCTATTTTCCCCACGGAGATGAAGAATATGCGAGATGTTCCCCTCAGAAGATTTGAATTATTATTGTACATTGTCAGAGAGGCGATATTTCATCGTTAATAACTGACTGAGTTTCTTGTCCATGGCTTTCTTGCCCTGAAAAAATATTATATAAAATGAAATTTAAAAAAAAAATATTATACGAAATGAAATTAAAAAAAAAAACTAAGTTCTACTTCACCCCACTTTACTCCTAAAGCTTCATGATATATGGTTTTTCGAACTTTTCCTATCAACAAGGATCAATGGTTGTTAATTTAGTATGTACATTTAATGACTCAACTCTTAGTGAATTAGTGAATTCCAGGGGGCCGGATCTCCCTTCGACCCCCTCTTGATCTGACCATCTTATTATTCCAAATCTTTCCTCTGGGTAGGTGGAAAATTGTTTTTATTGTCAACAAAATATGTTTTGCCAAAATAGAAAAAAAAAATTCAGCCCATTTTATTGCTTCATAATTTCAATATTGTCATTCTTGATAAAGCTGTAACCTTCAACTATCAGAAGCACATGCAAAGAGTTGGCAATTAATCTTTTTTTTTATATTTTATTCATTGTATTAGTAAGGATACTTTATTGTTAACTTTAAAAAAAAAATAAAACTAATACGAAAAGAAAAAAGAAAAAAAAACCTAATACTCCTTTAATATTATTTAATGATATATAGGCCTATGATTTACAGGTCTGTAGCTTTTCTGACACATGCTTATTTTTTTCTCTCTTACCTTTTGTTTGTGTGTTCTCTCACAGGGGATGATATCTAGGACTATAATTATAATCCCTACACCAAATCGAAATTTAATCAATTTTTATTGTCTTGATTAAGGTGGTGGTCCGCTGTGAGCCTGTGTAAGTTAATTTCCTGATTGGATCGGCCGAGATTTAGTCTTCTTCCTGTGAAGATTAGAATAATGCTATTGACAAACGATGTATTTCTAGATTTCCAAACAAAACTAATGAAGTCAATGCAAAAATCAGTTTTTCCTGTGTGCATTTTATGGTCTCGTCCATTTTCAATGCTTCTGCAGAGAGTTAAATGGAATTCTTTTCTCAGAGTTATTATTTTCAAAAATATTGAAACTTTTTTCAGACCTACTAGTACCACTAACCTTTAATGATTCATCCCTCTAATACAGGAATAATTCACTCCTATTCTACATGCAGTTATGTGTATGTATTTTACAAACAAATGTTCTGAATGTTAAATGTTATAGTAACCAAAACAATTGGTGAACTAGAAGAAAACGCATCATTTCTTAAGGGCATTTTTTTTAAATGTTGTCCTAGAGGTATTGTATACACCTTGCTGTTAGTCATTTACCTGTTGCTCCAAGAACTTGTCAAGCATAAATGAATTGGCGAAAATAGAATTAGGAATTTTTTGAATGTTTAAAAGTTTCAGTCTGTGCTTTATGCATTCAACAATAACATTAAAAGAAAGAGTTGATTTATTCCTATAAAAAGGTGTTGCAAGTTACGAAAGTTCAATGTGTATTGTCTAACTTCATTTCATCAGGATAAATTTGCATTTTAATGTTTCAGTTTCAAAGTATAAAGCGACATTATTAGGTGCATGTTATACATTGTATCTTTGTAAACAGGGGCAAAAACGTAGTGACTGTCGAACAGTTGCCAGTTGTAAGAAAATAAATTTATTTTGCATAATTATACAGAATTTTTTACAAGATGCATAGTTGATAAATTATGCATAGTTGATAAATTATGTTTTGAAAACATCAGAACAGTAAAGGATGTAGAATTCTAAGGGAATTAAATATACCTTAGAATCCGAGGGGAAAAAGTCAACAAACTTCTTCCCTTAACTCATTTTCTCAGAATTTTTTTTTATGAAATTCATACTTTTAGGGTGACTTGCTAAGTACTACAGCATCTCTTTATACGTACATGTACAGTGTACTTACAGTGACCCTCTAATACTTTTCTTTCTTTCAAAATCTTTAGTGGATAAAATTAAGAAATAAAGATCTGCAGTGCATAAAATTACGAAAGAAAGACCTGCAGTGGAAAAAATTGTTAATCTTTGGTTTCCTCTAGTTTTGGTATAAAAAAAGAGTAGTTTACAATTTTCCTCTTAAGCAAATATTTACATTGTTGTTCTTCTTATAGAAATCAGAGCCTCGCACTCCTCTCACTCCCAAAAAGCTGTTTGAAGACGAGCTAGAAGATTCCTCCCCTCCACCCGTCCAGAAAAAGGAAGCCTCCGACGCCAATAAGTTCGGATGGATTCAGGGAGTGCTTGTAAGTCAAGGCTAATTTTTAATGTAGTGACACAGAAAATAGCTTTACTACGAAGATTGTCATCTTATGGCGAGCAATTATACACTTCTCTAATTCAGGCAAGACATATACAGTTTATACATAACACGGAATTAAGATTTTACATTACTTTTAAGTAATCTTAGCTTAATAATAGAGTGTGAAGTATCAAGTCAATCTCATCTATATCAATATAATGAAACTGCAAAAAAGCGACTTAAACTAACGCTGACACCAGAGATTTACCTAAATCACACTTATGAAATCTCATGAGTTTTTTTTTTCTTTGTGATTATGATTTTTTGTTTCATTCAACTTAACATTAGGGATTCCTCGGTTTATTCCCCGAACGTCTACTACCTATATATAAACAGTATAATTATCACACTCAATTAAGAGGCCCTCTGAGGGGCACAGGTAGAGTTTACCTGTGTTCCCTGTGTTATCTTGATTTAATAGTCTAAATCAAATATTCACATTATCTTGGCAAGTAAAAAGTATATATTTTTTTAAAATAGTACTTTGCATGAAAATACGGTTAACAGCACATCTAAGTATGATGTTAGGCACTTACAGTGTTTTAGTCTCAATAAATAAATAAAGATACAATCAGTGTGTTTGATTTTCTTAGGTATAATTAGGGTTGGATACCGTTAAGGATGAAACGGTATGATACCATACCTTGATGAATGAGAATCCGGGTTTATTTTAATGACAAATGTGCTTTCAATTATCACCGCTTATAACCAAACTTTCAATGTTATAATCTAAATTGTGTTAAATATATTCTATTTCTATAATTCAACCTTTTATTAAATGATGAACAAAACAAATTAATCTGAATCTTTATAGAATAAAAAATAATATAACAAACACCGCCGTCTTATTCTCTGCTAAATGACAGCTGATCGCTTCATCCGGTCGCCATTTTGCTTGGTATCACTAAACGACGAAAAATGAGAAATAAAGAGAGATGACATCACAAATTCGCAACGTTTTGCCTTTTTATAAATTGACAAATTCTATCAGTTTCTACTAATAAAACTGAAACAAGATTAATGTAAATATTTTTTAATACGTATTGGTTTTCCTCGAATATCGGCTGTAGAAAGGAAGTTTCTTACGTAGTACTGATTTTGTTAATTAGCCTACCCTTTCAATCCACAGAAAATTCTGTTTTAGCGAGTCTGGAATCTTTTTCAAAAAATAATTTTAAATTTATAACAATGTTTTAAAGATTAAGAAATACCGTTATCAGTACCGGTATTAAATGAAACGGTATTTTACCGGTATTTTTGAAGTAACTATTCGGTACGGTACTGGTACCGTGTACCGGTGTCCAACCCTAGGTATAATCAGTGTATTATTTTCTTTAGGTACGATCAGTTGTTTGATTTTCTTTAAGTACGATCAGTGTGTTTAATTTTCTTTGGGTACGATCAGTGTGTTTGATTTTTTTTTTTTTTTGGGTACGATCAGTGTGTTTGATTTTCTTTAGGTACGATCAGTTTGTTTAATTTTCTTTTGATACGGTAAGTTTGTTTAATTTTCTTTTAGTACGATCAGTGTGTTTTACTTTCTTTGGGTATGATAGATTTGTTTAATTTTCTTTAGCTACGATAAGTTTGTTTGATTAGTACTCACAATCGCTGTGCTTGATTCCCTCTAGGTGCGATGTCTTCTGAACATTTTCGGAGTGATGCTTTTCCTCCGTTTGACCTGGATAACGGGTCAGGCTGGGATAGGACTGACCACTGTCATCATTTGTCTATCTTCCCTGTTAACCACCATCACAACTCTGTCCATGTCTGCCATATGTACCAACGGAGAAGTCAAGGGAGGTAAGCTAAGGCCGATATACACATAACGGCTTTTGGCAGAATCGCTTAAGATATGAACCAGTCATTCAAAAGTGTAAACTACAGAATAATTAAAATTACTCGCTGAGTTAAAAACTATGACTTTTTTGTTCTTTGTAGGTGGAGCCTATTACATGATTTCAAGAAGTCTTGGACCAGAGTTTGGTGGTTCAATAGGAGTCGTATTTTCGTTGGCAAACGCAATAGGAGCTGCTATGTACATAGTCGGATTCGCAGAAACGGTTCAAGGACTTATGTTTGTAAGAAGCAAAGAGGAAAATTCTTTTGTTGTTTTTGAGTCATTTTAGTAAACTTTTTTTTTAATTTCATCATCATATACATGTTTGTTTTGACTTCATCTAATTGTTTATGTATGAAAGTCCCCTTCAATGTAGTCGGTATATTGAGCTATTTTCGTGAACATTACTTGAAGGATCACGGTGCACAGATAACTGGTCATGCATTGAATGATGTACGTATCATTGGATCCGCCACCAGCGTCCTATTGATAGCAATTGTTATTATTGGCATGGACTGGGAGGCAAAGGTAGAACCCTAAGAGAGATATATATATATATATATATATATATATATATATATATATATATATATATATATATATATATATATATATATATATATATATATATATAAATTCTGAATGAAGATGTTTCTGATGCTAATGTGTACAGTCATGCATTTTAAAAATCACAATTTTTTATCCATGTTCATCCGGGATCATTATTTTCATTAATATTGATTTTTCAATTATTATTTGAAATAAAGGCACACTGAAAGACGACAACCATTAATATCAATTGTTAGCCACTTATGACTAGAAAATTTATATAGGAACAAGGCATGGCTGAATGATTTCTAAACTTAAAATGCTTGTACGAAAATTGTAAATTTATATTTCTTTTTTTGAAAAAGTGAAATTTGGATATTAAAAGGGAAAATGTTTTCTTTTCTCAGGCTCAGGTTGGTCTGTTGGTAATCCTGACTATTTCCATCATTAATTATTTTGTGGGAACATTCATTCCACCAAAAGAAGAAAATCAGTGGAAAGGAATCATGGGATATAAAGGTATAAGTTGAAATATATTCATGCGAAATAAAGTTTACAACAATGAACAACTTATTCAAGAGAGACATTGTTTTAATTTTGTTCGTCGTTTCCTCTGTGTCCATATGTTAATTACAGGAATATAACCTAACCAGGTTTCTTGGAGGGTCCAAAAGGCTCTGAACCTGAATTTTTTAAAGGATTTAAGATGGGCATTGTTTCGAAGAATCATAATGCATTATTTTAGTAATTCTTTCATATGTTATTTTCAGAGTATTACGAGGGCCGTTCAAAAATTACGCGGACTGTGCTATTAATTACTCTTACAGACGTCATATAGTTATGAAATTTCACAGAAATATGTATCTTAAAGATTCCAATAAATTTTGGACAAAATTTCTGTATTTTAAAAAGATTGTACGAAAATAATCGTTATGTTGAAATCGCTGATGGAGAGGTACGGAGCACGACAAAAAAATTGACGCAAAAGCATGCAGAATCCAAAATTGAACTCATTATTTTTCTATAATTCTCGATATTTTTCGACAATTTTCTCAAATGTATCTTAAAATTGCTCTATTATTATGTATTTAGATTTCTGACGTGATACTTTAAGTACTAACAGAAATATAGTGATTTTTCTCTGATGGGATTCCCGTGAAAACGACTGTGAAAATGACGTCTCCTGAATTGACGGCGCACCACATCTTTGTTAAATTATGTGTAATGCTCGAGATATCGTGAATATAGATCCAAAATATGCATAATAAAAGATGTAGTAAACTAGGGTATTCGTGACATTCGTCCACAAATAGCAAATTGAAATTTTAGACCGTTACACCTCTGTAAAAAGGCTACGGGAAGAAGAATATCGACGAAAACTTCATCCGTATAAAGAACGTGATTGAGAGTCACCAATATCACACTATATCTAATAAATACCTGCAGTTTTTTTTGGTTTCAAAACAAAAAAGCATATTCTTTACTTATTTAATAGATTTGAAGCTTGATAAGAAATGGTGTTTTGATGTTGAATAGATAAGGTAACTCAAACTGTACAGGTACTCATGGGAAAATAATGAGAAAATGAAAGCTCCAACACATACTTTTTAATAATGCCTGTGACGTCAATGATATTGCTGCTCCGTGACTTAATGATATGTCCCGATAAATCACTCAAAATCGATACCAATTTACAACATTTTGATATGAAATTTTGAGGACCATATAAGTAAAGATTCTCTTATATTATGTGTGAAATTTTGCCCGATTATGACGTCAAATATTTTTTCTGTGCAACAAGTCCGCGTAATTTTTGAACGGCCCTCGTATATGGATTCATTTCATGTCAAAAACGATATTTCGGTCATTAAATTTTGTTCTAAATAGGGAATGGGGTTGTGACCGCACCCAACGCACCCTTCCTCCAACGGTTTTGTGGTTGTTCGACGGTATTCAGATAAAAAAGAATTCTAAGAAAAAATGAATTCCAGACGCTCAATATGTAATAAAATTGGCTACAGAAAGGTTAATCTATCGATTTTTTCAAGTTTAGAGCTTAATACATTCCATATCACGAAATGGACCGCAAAAAATTGCGTTTTCCGGCATTTTATTTATGTAACTGATCAAGTTTTGCCTCATTTAATCTGAAAAAAAATATTCAGGAATGAAGTTGAATTTTAAGGTTTAAGGTCAAACATAAAGTGCCAAAAGGTAAAAGGTTAAGTAGGGTCATTGTTTTAAGATTTTCTAATGGTCGTCGTTACTATAAATGTAAATCTAATACTTAAAATATTTTTGCACAACAACATAATGTAGATATTCTTTTGTAGCTGAAATTTTCTCTACAAACTTTGGTCCAGACTTTAAGGATGGCGAGACATTCTTCTCCGTTTTTGCCATATTTTTCCCGGCAGCTACCGGTATTTTGGCTGGGGCCAATATATCCGGGGACTTGAAAGTAAATGTCCTTTTTTTTAATCTGACCTTAATGAAATTAGTGTAACATGATATAATAGACAAGTTTATCTAGTTTTATTTTTGCATTGCCTGTTCTTTTAACATGTTCAGTTTTTATGATTATAAAAAAAGAATTAATTAAATTAACATTACAAATAAATCTAGGATCCCCAGGTCGCCATCCCAAAAGGGACAATTCTAGCCATCCTTATCACGACCTTTGTGTACCTGGGCATCGCGTGGACCAGTGGAGCTGTCATTGTCCGTGAGGCTGTTGGAGGTCAGGTTTTGGATGCTCTTTTTGATCCCTCTACAAACACTTCCCTGGCCCCTACCCTGGAACTGGTACAGGATTGTAAGAAATTTAATATGACTTGCGAAGGAGGATTATTACCTGACAAAGGGGTAAGCAGAAAAACATCATTTGAAGATTCTCTTATCAAGAAATATATTAGTAGTATGAAGAAGTAATATAATTACAAAAAGGATTAATATTGTATTCATTTAATATTTTTTCAGGCAATAGGCATAGCCTCTGCCTTTGAACCGCTCATTTTGGCAGGAATATTTTCTGCAACATTGTCCTCGGCACTTGCTAGTATGGTGGGAGCACCGAAGGTTTTCCAGGCATGTTTCATTTAATTGAAGTTCTTTGTTTAATTTGTGCATATTTATATCCATTGGATATTAAAACTGATTTACTTGTACATTTTTTTTCTTCAGGCATTAGGAAAGGACAGACTTTTTCCTCTTCTGCATTTCTTTGCTAAAGGTTACGGTCCGGGTGATGAACCGCGCCGGGGTTATATCTTGACTTTCTTTATTTGTGTAGCCATGGTGTGTATAGGTAGGTTAACTATTTGGAACTTGTCAGCTCTGCTATGGTTATAGCGGTTATCAATGATCATATGAGGAACATCACCTGTTTTTCTTTAATAAACCTGAGGTTCATTTAATATTTGTTACAAGTTTCTTCAATAAAAATATTTTTTTCAATTTTCGCTAGTTAAGGGTCTTTTCATATGTAGTTTAATTCTTATAAAACATATATGTAATAAATCACATACATTTCTTTTGATTGCAGGGGAACTGGATTTGATTGCGCCTATTATTTCAAACTTCTTCCTGATGGCTTATGTTCTGATTAACTACTCGTGTTTTGATGCTTCGTTAGCCGATTCACCTGGATTCAGACCCAGCTTTAAATATTATAACAAATGGATAAGCTTTGTTGGTTCCCTGCTTTGTTTAGCAGTAATGTTCTTAATAAACTGGTGGGCTGCCCTGATTACCTTTCTGGTTGTCGGAGCTCTTTACCTCTACGTCCGAACTAAAAAGCCAGGTAACTGTACAAAGTGCAATTATAGTTTCGATTATGAATTCAATTTGTTTTCTCTATCTAGTCACAATAAACTATTTTATACACTTAACAAAAAAATCATAGCTCCAAACAACTTTTAACCTTGATAAAGAGATATCTCTCTAACTTTAAGAGATATCTCTTTAGCTTATAAAGAAATATCTATTTAGCTTATAAAGAGATTTCTCTAAGTAAAAGAGATATCTCTCTTACAAAAAGAGATATCTCTTTTGTTTAAAGAGATATCTCTTTAAGGTATAAAGATATCTCTATTAGTCAAAAGATATCTCTATAAGCTAAAGAGATCTCTCTCTATGCTAGAGAGATATCTCTCTTATAGAACGAATTTTTTTTTTATTTCACGAATAAATAGTAAAAAGGCTTGCCATGAATAACTTTTGACTATGATCAATCGATTGGCTTGCGTGATAATTTATGACGCAAGCAACTCGATTAAACACATCATGAAATAAAAAAGAGATTAGACAGTTATTCCTTAGCTGACTGATTTTTTAACATCTTAGATGTGAACTGGGGATCCTCAACACAGGCCCATGTGTATCGAGACGCACTCCAAGGAACGCTTCGTCTTGTGAAAGTAGAAGAACACGTCAAGAATTTCAGGTATAATCTAATTAAAAAGGAAGAAGATAAGGTAAATTGGACATGGAGGATTTTCACAGATGTGTTGACGAAGCTCAGTTTTAATACCTTTTCAAATAAAGTGAAGTTGGACACGAATAACCCGTTCCCTCTACACGTAGTTATTAATCTGATAGAAAAGCTGAATTTTATCAGTTGTTCAGAAACATATGAATTAAATAATATAGATTCGTTACAAACCTATTATTTTTGTGTTGTGATATTGGTCTTGCATATTAACAGTTTCTGTTTACATTTACTAAAAATGAAGTGCAATCATTGCAATGCACATATATAATGTTCATTCATTCATTCTCCTCTATAGAATTTATTCTATGTTTTATTATTTTTACAAACTTTTTTATTTCTTTGATATTTTATTTAATGTGATTATTTAAAAGGATAGCTTTGAAGAATATTACTCAAAAACACCCTGTTATAGGTAATGCACATGTTAAATATGAAGGTCCTTTCTCGTCTTAATCCAAAGTTATAAGGAAAGATAACATTTTTAAAAGTAGGTCAGACTTCAAGGTCTAAGTCACAGGATAAAATAAGATAGTCTATTAAGAAAGGTATTGTCACAGGTAATATACATATTTAATATGAAAGTCCTACCTCTTCTCTTTCAACAGTTATAAACAATGTTAAGGAATGTGAAAATTTTTAAAAAGTAGGTCAAATTTCAAGGTCAAAGTGACGGGTTCAAAAGGTCTTGTCCCAGGTAATGTACGTGCGAAAAGTAAAAGTCTCATCTCTTCTCTTTCGAAAGTTATGACGAAAGTTAAATTTTTTGTCTGACGATCTGACTGACTGACACACGGACGAATGAGATTTAATGTCTTCCCATTTTTGCGATTATAATTATACTTTTCTCTACACAATTAAACCTAAGTTCAAAATTACATCTATTTTGATGAAATTGTGCCTATCTTCAAAATCAATTAAAGATTCAATTTATACCTATCTTCAATTCATTTGAAAATTGGTATAATTGATTGTAAGATCGGTATTATAGATTTTAAGATATATTCAACTGATTTGAAGATCCTCAATTAATTGTACCCATCTTTATATATTTCAACATATCTCCAAATGAATTAAAGATACATCTAACTAAACCTATAGGTTCAAAGAAATGACACCAGTGTACGTCCTATCTTTGATGTGATTATACCTACCTACAAATCCACTGTATATATATCTTCGAATGAATTAAAACTAGGTATACCAGGTAATTAAATTAAACACATCTTTAACTTATTTAAAGATTGGAATAATTTATTTGAAGATAGGTGCAATTGATTTGAAGATAGATAAATTACGTACAGTGAATTGCAGATTCAATTATTTGAATATATGTTAATTTGGCATGTTATAATTATTTCCTTCTTTAATCAATCTATGGATTAGAGAGATATACCTAATAGCTAGATCTGAATTGAACAGATTTGAATATATATGTAATGTTTTCTCAGACCACAGATTCTGGTTTTATCGGGCTATCCAAGGAACAGACCCGCTTTAGTGGATTTTGCTGCAAACATTACAAAGAAGCAAAGTCTATTAATCACTGGCCACGTGTTCACTGTGAGTACACAAAATGATAGCGATTTTGGAGTCTTGGTTTGGTAAAATTGAGTCTTTCACTGAATTATATGTGTTCAAAAGATATTACATTCGTTGTTTTTATTATATAGGGAGACATGTCAGATCACGTGAAGAATGTACGATCACATGGTGCCTATAAATGGTTTGAAAGTAGGAAAATTAAAGCATTTTATAACGCTGTAGTAACACCGACGCTGCGAATCGGAACTCAAGTTCTCCTACAGGTATTAGGAAACCTCATATTCTCCAAAGAATCGAAATGTCAATAAACTTTTTACATTCTTGATGCTTTTAGTTATAACAGTTTTTACTTGTAAATATTTTAGTTCCTTTGCAAAAAACATCATAATCTACGAAATATTTGGTCTTTTTATTCCTAGGCCTTGGGCATCGGCAAGCTCCGACCAAACACATTATTCCTTGGGTACAAGTCTGACTGGCAGAAGGCCGAACCTGAGGAATTAGAGGATTACTTTAATATTATACAGTGTGTCTAACTTATTATTTTTTTTTAAATGTTCAAAATCAGCTTTCACTAGATATATCCAAAAACTCTGAAAAATTTGCCACAATTTTACTTACGAGTGAATATTAAAACTTTTCCTAGAATCAATTTAAAGCCAAAGTCTACATGCATCAGTCTTCAAAATATTAGTACCTAAACGTGTTTTTATAATGCAAAACTCATTTTTAACATTTTCAGGGATGCATTTGATCTGAAATATGGGGTGGGTATATTGAGAATTCCCGGAGGCTTTGACATCCATAAAATTCCTGATGAAAGTGAAGTAGATGATGACCCTGATCTTACAGAGAACGTCGATAATTCTGATGACGACGAAGGTAGATACTGAATGGTTTCTGTGTTAATTTGGGGTTGTCACTGGGGATAAGACGACTGAAACAAGCAACCGTTCATATGAAAACCCTGATAAAGATGCTCATAATGGAATCATCATGTGCTCATTTACCTCAAAAAGTAGAAATTTTATATTGTTTTTTTTTAAATTTTTCGTCCTTCTCAATATGTAAGCAAACCTTTTACTAAATTGGAATTGGGGGACTTTGAGAGATCTCTTTTGTAGACCATATTTCTTAAAAACACAGTTTTACATGTCCAACTGTTCGAAATTAAGGTAGGACACAATAGATAGGCCAAATTTTTCCTCAAATTTAATTTTTCTGAAATTTTGATATTTTGTTCTAGGATACAAAATTTCTCTTTATATATGATATGAAAGAAATTCAACCACACATTTTTTGCCCACATTATCTGAAATATGGCCTATCAGACCCCTGTAAGAAGATTGTGAAATCAGACATTCGACTTGAGAATGCGCCTTATTTTAGAATTATCAATTGATCTATTGCAAATTTGAGTAATACTTTTAATAAAGATAACCTTTCTGTTACTTTAAATCAGTACGTCATATTGATAATGGAAAGTTTGAATAAAATATGAAGTAAAAATAGAACATACATAGCGTCGGAATTGAAAATTTGTATGTAAATATCCGACAGTTAAAGTTTTCTTGAGAAAAAAATGTATAATTCAATTTTTACAAAAAATCAACAGAATGATTCAAATGGGTCCTAGAATAAAATGTGTAAAAACAAAGGAAATTGAACCAGTGATTTAAGATACTTTGGCGATTAAAGAAATTTCAATAGCAAAAAAACTAAAAGATACAGTAGATGATGTCCCAATATTTGACCTTTGACCTCTTGATATGACCTTGACCTTTGTAGACTCCTTATATATGTGTCCAAATGTCAGCCCTCAACTATATATGGAACAAAAGTTACACTGCATTTTATATCAGACTGTTACATGCTTGTTTATTGCACTTAGATTGCGTAAACACATTCCAAAATGTAAGCTCTCAAGTGACCAATATATAGGATTCTCTGATTTTTTCACAAAACATGATGCAAACATGCCAAAACTTATTATTTTTCTTACAGGGATCATTCATTGTTGTAAATATAGTAATATTATTCTTTTGTTCTCCAGTACTTTTTAAGAAATGGGTTAAAATAGAATCCACGGGTGTTTTGTCCCACCTTAAATAACATTTATGTATTACATTGATTTCCTTCCCTCAAAAGTGATGCCTGTCTGTCCGTGCCCTTTTGCAATTATAAAAGTGAACATGACAGCTAGAGCATTTGACTTTATAGTTCCATAAATTTGATTTTATTGAAACACATAAACTCACCAATTTGGCCTCTTTTATCAATCATTCATCAGAGTTAATATGAAGAAGTAAACTTTTTTTTAAAAGGACACGTATATTCCATAACTATATTAAAGCAGAGAAAGAAATTTCTTAAATTACAAAGAAATCTCAATCTACTTGAAGGTTAAAATTTCTTAAATTACAAAGAAATCTAAATCTACTTGAGGGTTAATTTAAAACTTTGTGATTGAAGGTTCCTCATTTAATATTTCTTAAAATATATATTTTTAAAAAAATATATAATACAAGTTATGTTTTGAAAAGTGAACGCAATGTTAATACATGTATGTGTTGAATAATGATTTTTGATAAAATGCCAAGTTATGAGGATTGCTTTGACTTGTGTCACGTCTTGATCTCTGCCATAGTTTCTTTTTCATTTAAGATGAATTTGATGAGTCAACAGGCCAGAGGTCTCCTTCTTCACACCCCGATGAAAGGAAATCATCTGGTGGTTCTTACAAGTAAGTGACTTGTTTTAACGCTTACTGGGTCCTAATTAGCAGTCCTAAAACGTACAGTACAATGCAAAGTGCTGAAGTAATGTTTCTAGTGAATCTTATGAGATAGTCTTTATTATGAAGAACCTGATAATTTATTGTTCTGCTTTTTAGTCAATATTGAACGTTTCAAAGATTATAACATGGATAAAGAAAATAAGATAAAAGCTTTCTTGTAGCAAGAAAATTAGGGTATGATAGTCTTTACTACGATTACTAAACCCCACTCAATCAAAAAACGATTATATTATACCTGCACAAGCTTTGAAAATGCGTTTACTAATAACGAATACTTTAATAGCTTCAAAGATAGTTCAAAAAATGTTGGTGGAATAAAACTGAAACGTTTGAACACTGTGGAGGAAGGATCTGAAAACCTAGGATACATACCTGACGCTCCAAATGGTAACATGAAGGAGGACCGACCCAAACTTAGTACCCTCTTATCAACTGAATCTACAGCCCCATTGACCTCCAGATTTCAAGAGGTTCAGCATGGCAGCATTGATGTCTGGTGGCTCTTTGATGATGGAGGTAAGAATTTATGTGTTTAAATATGGTTATTTCTCAATTTGAGTACAGTTATCACAAAGAAAAAGTGGCAAGGTAATTATAACAATAGTGCAAAGCTGACTTAATACAGGGTTCTTAAAATCCTTGAAGTGTTAACTTATTTGAAGCTTGCTTAAGTTTAAAAATTGGTTGACATCTACACATTGCTTTCTGTATCGAACTGTTGAGATATATAAACACCACAGTGTAATAAATAAAGGAATTTGAAAATTTTGTTCGTATTTTTACTTTGGTTGAGTTTTCTGCTATATTTCTAGTCGAAAAATGCATGAAATTTACTTTTGTTAATTGATAAAAGTTCATCGTTATTTCTGAATGTTTAAATAAAAGCTAAATCCAGAGTTTTATTCTTCTATATAAGTTTGGGGAGAAAATGTTGCCTCAGTGGTGTTCTTTCGCGTTACTGAGTCTCCAAGGAAAATACTGTTTTTATATTTTCAAAATTTATCCAGTTTAAACCCTCAAATGCCTTTGAAAAAAAAATATATGCATATATTTTTAATATAATTGTTTTAAAAAGGAAATCATTATCTTGATAAACACAAAATCGTACATTTCAGATGGATTATTGTATAAGAATTAGTTTATATATAAGCTTTATCCACAGTGTCGCTTATTGAGTTAAGATGTAAACTTGAGGTAAAGTCAAATACTTTCTCAGATATCGCTATCCACAACAATGCTACACTCTGTAACATACCAGATGTTTTACTAGTGGTTATTTTGGTTAATCATCTCTGCTGTTTAATGGAACATTATGGAGTGAATTAAAAGGAACAATAAAATATTTACGAGGTTTTAATATTTATTGATGGACTTTCTACACAAGAGGCCCAGGGGCCACAGCACTCACCTGAACACACCGGCTAGGAAAAAGCAAATATCAGATCAGAAATGAAAGTTTACTGAGGTTGGAGAGGGGGGCTTAAGTTTTAACCCCTAGGGGGTCATGATTTGAACAAACTAGAATCTACACTACCTGAGGATGATTCCATATAAATATCACTAATCATGGCTTTGAAGTACCTGAAAACGAGATTTTAAAAGATTTCCCTATATCTTCTTATGAAAAACTTTGATCGACCATTTTGGCCCCACCCTACCCCGGGGGTCATGATTTGAACAAATTTGAATCTAAACTACCTGAAGATGATTTCACATAAGTTTTATCTTTTCTGTCTCAATGGTTCTTGAGAAGAAGATTTTTAAAGATTTTTTGCTATATATTCCTTTGTAAAACTTTTAACGGCCATTATGGCCCCAACCTAGCCCCAGGGATCATGATTTGAACAAACTTGAATTTACATTACCTGAGGATGATTCCACATTAGTTTCATCTTTCCTGGCCCAGTAGTTCTTGAGAAGAAGATTTTTAAAAGATTTTTCCTATATATTCCTATGCAAAACTTTTAACGGCCATTTTGGCCCCACCCTAGCCCCGGGGGTCATGATTTAAACAAATTTGAATCTACACTACCTGAGGATAATGTCACATGAGTATATATTCCTTTGTATTTTTCCTGTCTAAACAAATTTGATTACTAGAATAAGATTTTTAAAGATTTTTCCTATATATTCCTATGTAAAACTTTGATCGGCCATTTTGGCCCCACCCTACCCCTGGGGGTCATGATTTGAACAAATTGAATCTACAATACCTGAGAATGATTCCACATGAGTTTCATCTTTCCTGGCCCAGTTTTTCTTGAGAAGAAGATTTTTTAAAATGCCATTAATTTTTCTCTAATTCATAATTATCTCCCCTTGGAAAAGGGCGCGATCTACATTTGACCAAACTTGAATGCCCCTCACCTAAGGATACTTTGAGCCAAGTTTGGTTGAAATTGGCCCGGTGGTTCTTGAGAAAAAATGAAAATGTGAAAAGTTTACAACGACTACAACGACAGACAACGGACAAATTTTGATCAGAAAAGATCACTTGAGCCTTCGGCTCAGGTGAGCTAAAAAGGGAATATAAAGTGACATAAAGGGCTGGAATGATCAGAGAAGAGGAGACACCTTTTTTGTTAAAAAAAAAAGAAAAGAAAGAAGAAATATAGTGATGCTACTGATGCCATTTGGTTGTTTTGATTGTAGGATTAACATTACTCATACCATACATTTTATCCAAAAGAAAAGTTTGGAAAAATTGCAAACTGAGAATTTTCTGTGCCGGAACAAAGAAGGGGAATCAATACCAGGATGAAGTCAGGTATTTCTATGGCATCATTAAATTACTTTACACTTTAATTCAAAAAAAATTTACCGGGATAAGACAAACATTTCTAGGGCGTCATGTAATAATATTACATACAAATGTGAAAAAAAAAATCAGGATGAAATCGGTTTTCTAATTGAAAATGTTATTTTTTTCTGAATACTCATAACTAACCTGTTTATAGAAATTTTTAATGTTTTTCAGAATGTCATCTTTGCTGGCAAAGTTTAGAATTGAATATTCTCAGCTAACTGTAATACCAGATTTATGGAAAAAGCCTTCTCTTACAATGTAAGTTAAACTTATTCACTTTTGACTTGCAGAAAGTATCTTCATTAAAGTTACACAATTTTGTTAACATTGTTAATTCCTGCTAATAAAATAGCACGCGTGAGATATATCCACAGAAAACAGGGATAATTCATTAATTATTATTACTATATATACTGGTACCAATTTTGTAGATTATATTGGTTGTCTTTTCTTTCATTTGTGTGCAGTTCATTTACAGAAAATGCTTTTTGCTTTTTCAGGTACAAGGACTTTGAAAGTATAATTCACCAGCAGCGAATCAGGCCTCACGAATCTCCAGATGATTATCCTTGGAAGATTTCTGATGGTGACCTCCTGGCAAATAAACAAAAGGTATTACTTATTTTTAAAAAATAAAGTCAAAGATTTATAAATATTTTACGTGATTTTTGATTTTTTCTTTGAGCCCAATACGAGCAGTATGTTTTTTCCAGTAGTAAAACGTACTTTAAATTGTCAGTAGAAATCATTACATTATACTGTACAATTATTTTATTTCAAGGCAGATATGTTACAAAATAGAGTTCCGAAACCTGTTAATTCTGTTGATTGCATTTCGATTTCAAATTGTAGTAGTTAACATACACATTCTTATGAGATGCATTTGTCAGCACATTGATTTGATTTCTATGGAGTCTTTAAACATAATGCCCAGACGTCAATTTGAGATTTTTTTTTTACAACAGATTTGTAAACATATTTAGTATTTCATTTTGTAGATCTACCGAAATATCAAATTAAAGGAACAGCTACTAATTCATTCTCCAGAGGCATCACTAATAGTCATGTGAGTATAACTATGATTTTCTCATTAACAGATATTATCTTCATTCCGAAAATAAATAAGTAATAATAAAGAAAAAATTCCTGCATCATAATGTTTTATTTTTCCCCGTTAGGACGCTTCCTGTTCCTAAACGAGAGGCGTGTCCAGCCACGCTATACATGGGTTGGTTAGAAATGTTATCACAGGGACTGCCGCCAATGCTCTTTTTAAGAGGAAATCAAGAAAACGTGCTCACCTATTATTCATAAATTTAATGTACAAAGGGTATTGACATTTAGAACTTGTAGTAAGAAATTGGATGTTTATAAGTAATTAGTTATGCTTATATATATACATATACTTGATGCTACTCAAAACAATTGTACTGTTGTTGTCAAATTGTTTTATTTTGCACATAACCGCCTTAAAAAACTCAGTGATAGCTGTCTTAGAAGAAAATTACAAACGCACATATCTTAACCAATAAAAACAATAAATTTGACAATTGTATTATTCATACATATAATCTGACATGAAATTTGAGTTTGTGCTAGATGGATTGAATAATTATATTAGTTAAAGTGTCATTTTATTTCTTGTCTGCTTCCGTTAAAAAGAAAGCCCAGTAATAGATATTGAACAATATAAATAACAGAACGTAGAGCAGTGATGATATTCTGTCTATCGTTTCTGGAGCTATGCCAGACTTTTCCTCTGTATCTTTTGCATTAGTAGACATATCAATCACATGGATCACTTCTGGTGCTACTTTGGACTTTGGGAGATTCTTTCTTTTGCTGATATCTGTGACTTTTGTGTTGTTGTGGCTACTACATTGTGCCTCTAATTTACCCTGAAAATATGAACATGCATGTGAATACATGTACTGTGCTTGTAAATTGTTATAAAATTTCGCATGATATTTGTTTTGCTTTTACACACCTGAATTTCTTGGTCTTTTGTCGAATTCTTTTTATGCATTCGCCGTCTATGATAATTGTGAACAACTACAAATTCTAAAAATGCCAGAGTAATAATGATAAAGCATCCTGCATTCCATGCCTCTACTGCAGCCATATGAACCTGGTCCGGATTCAAGATCAGAGTTCCCACACTTTCTGCTATAATGGCCGTCAAAGAGATCGTAGAGATGCGGGTTCTTCCTGATACTTCGGTATGATGAATCCAAAACCCTAACCACGTGATGAAGACAATGCAGGTACTAGGTAAATATACCTGAATAAACATGGTCTGATATTTCCTTTGTACATGTAATATCAAATTGAGACATGGCATTGATTCTCCTGCAAAATAAAATACCTTTAATTTTATATCTTAAATTTGCTACTACGTAATCTGATATAATCGTAAAATAAATAAATTGATTTGTGCTCATTTCAATAAAACATTTAACATATTTTTCTCACACAAAAATATATTATTCCTAGCCAGTTTGAGAGGGGTTATATTTTTGTGATATGAAAAATAGAGAACTTGATTATTGTTGTGAACTTACGAAGTGTTATTAACGATAGGACACGTGCACTCACTTCAAGTTTAGTACATTTAAATGAAGAAATCATACCTTGTGAACAAACCTTGGTCTCCGTTTTCTTTATCGTGACTGCATACGTTTTCATGGTTTTGGAATACGTAACAGGGGAAAACAGCTTCCAGAGCAACTTCAGATTTTCGGACGAATACGAAGCTAAAAATAAACGCAGATTTGCACATATAACGATAACTATACATATTTTGTCGCCCTTTACATATTGCATTTCAATATTGTCATCGTATACATGTATGTGCGGGACGACAAAGAAGTACATTAAAAAATCATCAAACTATTTATTAAACAATTATTGATCTATAAATGACGTTAAAAAGATTTGTACTAACGGAATGTATAATCGGCAAGTTTCTTTTTTTTGATTTGTTTAATTTCTTTCTTTTTTTTAAATTTCCAAGCACTTTTCTAAATTGTTACAAAGTTATCTATACCACTCTTGAGGTACAATGAGCATGTTTCGTCTTTGATTGGAAGGGCAAACAACTTCACGTCACAGTGAAATACTATGGAGTGCCTGTAAAATATCAATAGAATTTTGGAAAGCAAAATAAATATATGTAAACGTTCAGTTGTACTATTCTACATTGTAAGAATTGAATTTTTGCACATAATTTATAAGCAGTCAAGAAAATTGATGATTAGATATACAGCAAATATATGGCTTATCATCAAAGGTTATCAACTCAATTTTACGAGTTTGACAGTGTGTTACAATCGAACCATATATTTCACTTCTTTAAATCTTGATCATGAAATGGTAGATCATAAATAATTCGCCTTGCATTATGTAATATTTACAAACCAAGCTCATGACGCAAAACAAAAAGCATAAAACTATTATTATTCTTATTCATCAGAGATTTAGAATCCTATTTGGAAAAATACCTTTGAGAACTGCAGGTTTATATACAGATACCTCTTAAAATAAACATGTAAATCTAGCACTAATTTTGAAAGTCTTATCTAGCTTAATTTACGATAAGAAAAAGCACGACTACTTTACTTTCAGCGGAGGATGCGGGTTTTTTTTTTATCAAAATAGAAAATTTGGTGTTCTGACTATTTAATAGTCATAGCACAAAATTTTCTATTTTTTCTATTTTGATAAAAAAAAATATCTGTGGGAAGACAGTATTTTAAATACAATGTATATACATCATGACATTGCGTTTATTTGCTGACGAGTTGAAGAGAAGGAACTTTTTAATTAAAGTTTTAAAAATTGCAAAGTTTAATCTTCTATAATTAAAATCTTAAATTATTTAAAAATAATAATTATATGAATCGAAATAGTAATACAATATGCATTTGTAAATTTAGTTGGAGTATTACCTTGTTGTTAAGTAAAGACTTCCATTTGGATATGCATATATGTTATCAGTTGCTGCAGTCTCCAATAGACCATTGGGCATTTCATTGGCGATGTAAGTGTCTGGTATCCACAACTTTTCGAATTCCTCAGCTTTATACAAGGTATAATCATTGGGATTCCGGGAATAATTTACAAATCGCTGATCCCTCCACGACTGGCGAATGTCAAAGGTCATATCAGCGTCCTAGCCATTAGATATGTTACAGAAAAAAATGTTTTGGTTTATGTGAAAGTAAGAACACTTACACATACGAGGGACGTTCAATAAATAATGTCATTAGCTTGTTGGTATACAACATAGTAGTCATATGACATAAAGCTTGACTTTATCTCATTATTGAATCTTTAATGAATTGATAACAGTTTGTGTGACCACTTTCCATCGCATTATTTCATCGTGGGAAGCTGGAAAACAAGGGCTATTCGAGACACTGCATGAAAAATGAATGGTCAAGAATCAGTAAACTAGAGTAAAATTAAACGCTTCATTAAAGCAGCTGTAAAACTTGTTAATATCACAAAAATATATCAACTGAAATATGTGAAAGTTATAGCAACCAATGCCTGTTTTATAGACGGGTGAACATGTAGATTTCAATAAACAAAAATTATATAATGGGCATCAAAAATGGGTACCGTCCTTGGCAACAATGACTTACAACAACCGATGTAAATTTGCGAAATTTCAACAAATTATCACTGATTATGTTTTATTCACTTTAAGACACATATCAAAAATGATAAAAATCATTTTGGAGATAGTTCATACTGTTTTAAATAAACATTTTATAGTAAAAAAGTTTAATACTCAAAGGTCACCCTATATTTTGAAAAATGAGTGAAAACGACAGCATGTAGGAATATCCAAACAATTATTTTAAAAAATCAAAAATTGTACTTATTCACATTTGTATGAAATTCTAACAGATAATAAAACTTGAATCCATTTTGCTTTAAGCCCTCAAAACAAATTTACAATAATATGCACTTGACAAAACTGCAAAGGCCTAAGAAGAGCAAAGAATTGCAGGAGCATAAAACAGTTTTATATGCTATTTTCTTAAATATTAGCGGGCTTGTTCTTCAAATTCATATTCGGGGAGGAAGTTCAGATTTCTGGATTTCTGGAAAGGTTTATGAGAGGAAGGAAACAGAATAAGGAATACACTACATTAAATGTCTTCAAGACGGCGGCCAAACCCACAGGACATGAAGAGTAAAGGAGTTTTGGGGATAAACAGAAAGTTAATGTTATGTCACACCAACAAAATATGCCAGATCTCTCAACCTTTAACTTGTTTCATTTCCTAAGCTTAGAAAAACATCTATCAGAAAGAAAAAAACAAGTACAGCAAATCATAGGATCTGCCATATTCCAGTATACGAAGGGTCATACTCAAAAATGTGTTCGAAAAACAATTAGAAATTGAATGAAAATGTTACGGATATGCCTTTTAATTGAAAGAGAATATTTTAGTTAAATTATTAAGACTAAGTCATAGAAAAGCGTTTTTTGTTTCTTTCCGAGCCCCAGTGACATTATTTATTGAACGTCCCTCGTATGGAAGAAAAACGTACGTAAATCTTAAAATGTTATCTTAGATCTTAAGATAATAGAGTTATGCTAATTTTAAAGTTAAATACAATTAAAAAAAGTTACAATAGGACATATTAAGAAGGTTTAACAATTTCAATTTTGTATGAATATGCAAAATCATTGATAAAACATTTATTTTTTTCCCTATTTTTTATTCTAGGATAAGATTAAAATGTTATTAAAGAAACCGAAACCATGCTTACAAGTATAAGGCTTCTGAACTGTGACACATATAGAGAAATAAACACTGTAGTCTCATTGCCTGAAATGAATTAGATATTTTTGCATATTACAATTATTAATTTAATTAATTTTAAAATCATTACATTTTCTCAAATTTGTCCACAAATCTTTATTATGAAAGTTGTCAATAAGGATTAACCTGAAATTTCCCAAGGTGGTTTTATCCCCAGACACAGACAACATATAATATTATATGTGAGCAAAATAAAACCCAGCGTAGAAATTCTGCATCCCTAAAAAGTGAAATAAATCCTTATAAAAGATTCTAACAAATATATTCACATATATTGTAGGAATTTGTACACGTGAATAATAATTACCTCTTAATTTACTTTAACAGATATTTAATGTTTTTAGTTGTTACTCTACGTTAGATATAAAATGCATTAAGTCAATAATCCAAAAATTAAACGCTTTACCATCATTCCGAGCCTGTACAAAAGTGCTGAAAGAGTGGAAATACTGGTATATAAAGAAGACTTTGGAAGTCCATCCAATCAGGATAAAGTAAACACCGAGGAAGTTGTTACAGGTATACTTGTTTGATCAAATTGATATATTTATTGCATGAATTAAGTCCACATGATAATACTTATTCTTGATCGTCGGAGTTTTAGAATTACTTAAATAGATTTGAACATGCACTTATCATAAGGATAACATATTTCTAAAAGAAGATTTTAAAAAAAAAATACCTTCAAGGAATATATCCATTGTTAAATTCCAAGTTACAGTGTTGTATTTAATATATTTGTTGCACATGTCAGAATGAGTTAAATTTATAGCGTATAAGAATGAGAAGCCCTAATGCTTTGATAAAGTTCTTTATGATAAAAAAAATTTATCAAAATATTTTTATTGAATAAATTAAATATTAGCTACTAGTACTCAAGTTATACTGGCAAAATCTGGGCGTGGGTAGTTTACGCTATTTTAAAACATAGAACTTTGGAATCTTGGCATTCATGGCATTTTGCAAGGCTAAATTGTTGATTATAACAATGATTTTATAACCTTGCTTTCAAAGAATTTTATTGATTCGATATGTTTGATATTTGCGGATGAATTACTTGAAATGAGGACCCGACTACAATTAAAAATAAACTTATTTTAGAAAGGTATAAGAAAGGGTAAGTCATTATGATACTATTTCAATATAACATATATTTTCATTGTAGATAACAAAAAGAGAAAGGGGATTTACATCGTGTTTAGCCATCCCCATAAATCTTAAAGAGTAGAAGATTGCCTGACCGAACTTTAATTTTTCCGCATTCTTTTCGGTTATGGTCAGATAAGCTAATTTATGACTGTAAAAGGGTTTCATCTTAAACTTTTGGACATCTCTCCATACGACGCAAGTTGGTACATACTATGAATATTACACACTCATTGCCTATTGTGTAATCACTAATTTTCGTGGGGTTAATTTTCGTTGTTTTCAAGGTATGACGAGACCCACGAATTTAAGTCCACGAAATGCAATTTTTCACATATATTACCACTGAACAATTCTTCAACCACGAAATCAAATCTCCATGCATGAACCAATTTATTTTCCTCAAACCACGAAAATTTGACCCCTCGAAAATATGTGATTTTACAATATTTTAAAAGACAGACTAGAGTGTTCTAATTGATTAAACCGAATTCTACATCGTTTTACTTTAAATACATTTATGGTATTCAGTGAATTTGTCTTCCTCTTTTACAAAATACTTCTGCATTATCGGCAATTGTGTGATACTTTAACGTTCATATTTATTTACAATAAATGGAAACATGTTAATATACATGCAAGCATAATGTATAAATGCAATATATGATTTACAGTTTGATTTGGCAGTAAACTTCAAGCAACTTCCTGTACAGTAGACAGTAAAAGATACAAAACTTGATCCACTCTCCAAATTTGTTTCAGCTCCCGTTTACTTTGCATGTGCCTTATTAATCAATAGAAAACTAAACAAAGGAAGGATCATTTGTTGTTTTTTGTTTGATAATGAACACGAGGATTCTCTGATTTTTTAGAGCACCGTCAGTCCTTCTGTTATTCTATCAAATCTATAAACTTAAGTATCGGGTAAATTACGTCGATGAGTAATGGCTGCATGTTTCCTTTTTTTTAGCTCACCTGAGCCGAAGGCTCAAGTGAGCTTTTCTGATCACATTTTGTCCGTCGTCCGTCCGTCTGTCTGTCCGACTGTCCGTCCGTCCGTCTGTCCGTCCGTCTGTAAACTTTTCACATTTTCGACTTCTTCTCAAGAACCAATGGGCCAATTTTAACCAAACTTGGTACAAAGCATCCTTGGGTAAAGTGGAGTTTAAATTGTTAAAATGAAGGGCCAAGTCCCCTTACAAGGGGAGATAATCAAGAAAAGACAAAAATAGGGTGGGGTCACTAAAAAGTCTTCTTCTCAAGAACCACTGGGCCAGGAAAACTGAAACTTATGTGGAAGCATCCTTGGGTAGTGTAGATATTAAATTTTTAAATCATGACCCCTGGGGGTGGGGCGGGGCCACAATAGGGAATCCAAGTTTTACATAGAAATATGTAGAACAAATCTTTAAAAAATCTTCTTCTCAAGAACCACTGGGCCAGGAAAGCTGAAACTAATGTGGAAGCATCCTTGGGTAGTGTAGATTCTAAAGTTTAAAAAAAAGGGAAGGGGGTTGTTGGGCATGATAGGTATAGCAAGAGGGGGAATCTGGTAAAGATCTGCCTCACCCAAGTTACTCAGGTGAGCGATGTGGCCCATGGGCCTCTTGTTTAAATACACAATGTGACAAATGAAAAAAATTATATATTTTTAATTGGTTATGGGGACACCGCTGAATATGATTAATCGATCGAAAGGATATATAATGCACAACACATAATTAGATTAAACTGATAGGATCGCGGCCGAGACTAGCATATCTGTGCTGACTCAACATATGTGGAACCCTCTATCAACAATGAACTTTTGTTGTCGCTAACCATGGCTTTTGTACGATGGCCGATATGAGCCGTCAAAATACAAGTAAGAGTAGCTCTATTATGTACGCAGAATCAATGACAAAACGCATGAAGTAGTAGTATAAATTTGTACATGTACAAATCTTGAGACAAAATACACTCGACACTACTTAACATTCCTTAGATTTATTGGGAAGATTATCTGTAAACTTAGAAGGGACAAAATCAAATACACATGTTTCTGATTTTCACTCTATTTTCTCCTGTTCCCCTCATTTTTGTTGTTTAATAAATGTTGTGCACCTTACTTCAATTGATCACATAATGCAGCAAGATTGTTTTAATTTTCGCCTTTGATCCCTCGGTGTTTTAAGTTGTTGTTGTCTTTTTTAATTATTATTTTTGAATTTTTAACGTTCACGGCAACAAAATCTTAACCTTCATTCGTATTCCCCAAAATACCGATAAATGATTCCAGAAACAATGGAGCTGCATCTTTATTTTGTTTCCCTCCAGAAAATCTGTTGCTTGATATGTGTAAGAAATGTGTTTATTTTTCATACTATACTTTGCCCTCTTTCAATATTACTTTTTTCTACATTATTTTTTTTCTCTCATTGGAACGAAGAAACATTCCTTAGATTTCTGTAAACTGAGACGGAGACGGAGAACCACGCGTTTTCGTTCTTAATTTTTTTTATTGAGAATGGATAAATACATGTAAATGATGTATGCCAATGCTTTTAATGATATTCAAAACAACAACACTGATTTTACTTTTACATATATTGTCAGCGATCTAATCTGTCGGGATTTTCCATCACTGAGGCATTTTCATGAGAGTCATTATTCAGATTCCATAGTAAATGAGCTGCTTTTATGTAAAACGTTATGTATTTCCTCATTGTATATTCTTCCTCGTTCCAATGCATGGGAAAAAATAATGAAGAAAAAATTAATATGGAAACTGCAAAGCATAGAATGAAAAATAAACACATTTCTTACACATATCATCAAGCAATATATTTTTATCTGGCTAGAAAAGAAAAAATAAAGATGCAGCTCCATTGTTTCTGGAATCTTTTACCGGTATTTTGGGGCATACGAATTTAATGAAGGTTAAGATTTTGTTGTCATGAAAGTTAAAATAAAAAAGACAACAACAACACTGAGGGATCAAAGGCGAAAATAAAAACAATCTTCCTGCATTTTGTGATCAATTGAAGTAAGGTGCACAACATTTATTAAACAACTAAAAATGAGGGGAACAGGAGAAAATAGAGGGAAAATCAGAAACATGTGTATTTGATTTTGTCCCTTCTAAGTTTACAGATAATCTTCCCAATAAATCTAAGGAATGTTACGTAGTCTCGAGTGTATTTTGTCTCAAGATCTGTACATGTACAAATTTATATGACTACTTCATGCGTTTTGTCATTGATTCTGCGTACATAATAGAGCTACTCTTACTTGTATTTTGACGGCTCATATCGGCCATCGTACTTTTGTTACCTATCATGCAGATTATCGTTTTATCGGTGAAAAACTACAAGTTGTCATAATGTAGTTTTTTTACACTGATAAAGAGAAAATGTCAGAAAGACAATGTATCCAAAGTATACTTTAGGGGTGAAATACAGGGGTTCTATAAAAAACTCTCTCTAAATAATACTGAATTAAATATTTTAATCAAACATATCAGCATAAAATATTTCTAGCAAAATGACTTCAACGATGGACCATTTAGGATTCCATTTTGCAAACTAATCTATAAAAGATGTTAGACCATACACTATATTTTTAATGATAAAACTCGTGTCATCATACATGTACGTAAAAACTGGAAAGATTTGTATCGTAATAAAAAAAATCTAAAACAAAATAAGTATAAGAAGAAGTGATTGAGCAAGCATAAAGTCACAAATTGGGAGAACAAAGCATTAAGTCAAAGAAAGTTATGTTTTCTATAGTACACAATATTTGCTTTCTATAGTATATAATACTTGGGGGCTGCCCCTGTGCCACCATTACCCTTCCCAGGTTCCTACGATCATTAAGATTAAGGAATAACTGTTTTCACTGAAATAAGGCATGATATTGAATTCAAACTAATGAAAAACATATAAAGCACATTTTCAATTTCACATAACTTTCTTAAGTCCCCCTCCCCCAGTCCCCATCCGAAATCACCTTTTCAATTCCTAATGTTATGTTCACCTAAATGGAAGTCAGAAGCAAGTCAAATACTTTCAAAAACCATTTGTATAAATTTGGAATTTTCCAATCTATTTTCTCTATTTTTCCAGATCAATGTAGAGGAATAAACTCTTACATACGCCTTGAAGGTCATGTGCAGGTGAATATAACGTTAATTTTTTTTTTAGGTGTTGGATCTAGGCAAATTAGCTATAAGAATTATTCAATTATATAATAAGTGTATTAATTATACGAATTTAATGCTTACGATTAAGAAATTTGTTGTATGATGGTGATAGCTCAGATTAAATATTGTTCAAGTAGTCTCTAAGAAATATATAATTAAAATTACATTTAA